TTGAGCAGGGGGTTGGACTAGAAGATCCCCAAGCTCCCTTCCAATTCTATTATTTTATGTTCTGTATTTATCAGAAGGTCATAAAAGGTGACCCCATGACTCGCAACCACCATTAATACATGCCAGTTACGACCCCGGGGATGCTGCAAGGGTCGTAAATGTGGAAACCAGTCATAAGTCACTTTTTTCAGTGTTGTTGTCACTTTGAACGGTTACTAAATGAATGGTTGTAAGTCGAGGACTACCTGTACTCAGCTTATTCACTTAATGGAGGTCTGGAGAAGAAAAGTTCCACTTTGTGGAAAATAAGGTACTCTTGCGGAGTAGAAAGAGCGTTTAACCTAAAGTTTTTGCTTCAGACCACAGAGAAGACCCTCCCAAGGGGGATTTCAAAGTTGAACTAAAACTTTTTTTTAGAAGCCCCCACAACTGGCAGGGGACCCAGCGTTTGCTTCCTGTTTCCATTGTGGCTTGTGAACTGTGTGAAGTGCCAATTCCGGTGTGAGTCAACTCTCCTGCCTAGGTTGTCTCGTTGGACAACGTTCTGGGTGAAAAGATTAGCAGACCATCCCCATTCATCGCCACAAAAACAGAAGTGAGAGATGCAGCAGAAACCCCCAACCCACTTCTTGTGTTGCTGCCTACTCCTCCAAGGAAACCACGAGGAAAGAATTAAAGCCTTGGAAGACTCTAATAGTAGAGTCGGTCACTGGGACCAGAGTTTTGTCTTCTGAGCTTTTGGATTTGTGCTGGAGTCCGTCTTCAGGGAATTTGTCTCTAGCAGAGTGTGTGCTTTGGGCTGTTTTCTGTGCGTATTTATATGGTGCCTGTTGTATGTGGGTTTTTAGATGTTGTTTTAAAGCAGGCATGTCAAACTCACGACGTCACATGACGTCGCGCATCGTATCGGAGCTTTTCGCCATTGCGCGGGCCGGCAGTTTGACACCCCTGTTCTAAAGTGTTGCCTGAATTTGCTTTCAGCTGATGAGTCCATAGTTCCCAGATCTTCTTTTTTCCCCCCTTTAAAGCATTGACTCTTTTCTGATCCCCTTGCACTATGATTTCTCAATACTTGAAGAAACAGGGTTCAAGATGACATCCACAAAGCCTTTCAGCAAAGGAAACGCATTCGTGGTAGCACCTAAGGTGCACCATACTCCACTATGTCATTTACATTACTTATGTCCACCAGAACTGTTGAAGGAAAAATCTCCATCATGGTTCAGTCCAAGCCGGGAATAAACAACACGGCGACTGCTTTAGAAAGGTTGCAGTTTATTGAATAGACCCAGACAGAAAGATGGCCCTGGAAGAAAAGAGAGAGAGCACATGTAGGGATCAGGTTTTTATACCCTCTGGAGCCTTTTGTTTGGAGTTGTTCCTGTGGCATGAACTTTGACCTGAGTCTGAGTGTGCCCTTTGGCATCTGTGGGTTAATCCTATTATGTCCCGTCTTAAGAGTGTGGTACGTAGATTTTAGGTGTCTTTCTAAGCTTCTAACTGGGGGGCTCCAACCTTGCTAGATTATTTACATCTGCATTTCTACAGAGCTGATTCCTGCTTGGGGGAGAGAAACTTAGGGCTATTAAGAAAAACTGGGCATTTTCTGCCTCTTTAATATTTCCTTCTCGGGGGGGGGGAGGGACTTCCCACAGAACACAGTGCTCCTTTGAAGACCCCATCCAAGTAGGAATTGAGGAATTGAGTATGGCAGTACTGTTTTCACCAATGAGTAGGCCCTGCCCTTCCTTCCGCTATTCACATAGCCACAAAACACCTTTTGTGTTATCAACATTCTTTGCAAAGTTCCTTTTGTGTTTTAATCTCTTTTATCTTTCTTTCTGCAGGCATTAATTACTTAGCGGTCTGGTTTCTTGGCGATTCCACCCGTTTTGTGTTTCCTATTCACGCGCCTAACTCTTGGCAGCCAAAAACCTTCTAGGCATCCAAACCTTTTCTAATATGCAGAAGTTTCTCCTCCTTAGAATTGTACTTTTGTTATCTTCTTGATGAGAAATTCCCGTGTTCCCTTTGATCTTACAACAGTTGTCTGTGGGATGCCATCATGCGTTTTTCAAAGCTTATATAAACTGGTGGTCCAGAAAATGCAGGCTAAATTTTCAAAAAAAACCCTGCAAGCTCAGGCTTATTCAATAAAATAATCTTTACACGGCAGTCGTATGCTGCCACCTAGTGGGCAAAATGAAAAGGACAGCAAGAATAAGATCCGGGAAGCGAATTGTAATTTTGATGTTGCTAGTTCAATCTTCTCCAGCTGATGGCCTCCACAGTAAATAGTAGAAATTCTCCCGTGGTTTGAAGCAGAAGACGACAGAATGTCCCAACTGGCAAGTTAGGGAGGTCAACAGTCATTTGGTTTAAGGAGAGTAACTGTTTTCTGTAAGACTTCCAGTGAACAGAACAGAGTATGAAGGGACTTTGGAGGTCTTCTAGTCCAACCCCCTGCTCAAGCAAGAGACCTAGACCATTTTGGACAAATGGCTGTCCAGTCTCTTTTTAAAAGTCCCAAAGTCATGTGAAATTGTAAATGATGTATCTGCAATCTGGCCTAATACAGAGTAAGGGTTATCATGAAGATTTTGTATTATCCAAAGACAATGCCATATAATCATAGGAAAAAAAGCTGTTAATGCCCAGAATTTATGAGGAGTGGAGAGATATATCAGCACTCAGTGGCTCAGGAAATCCTATTCTAGTTCTGACATACAGCTAGAAATATAACGCTGCTTTGTGAAGCTTTTAGCAACGGGAGATTTTTTTTCTCATCCTCCCCCCCCCCCCCCCAAGGCAGTCTGGTTAGATGAGAGCACCAATGAGTTACATTTATTGATGTTTGGTTCTCATAAAAACATTAGTTGAAATAAAAACACAAATCACTCAGTCCTTATATTAAGACGGTCCCTGGACGAGAACGATCGCCGTGCACGTACAGTAGTTCCTGACCGCTACTCCCCCACCAAAGCCCTGCCATCCCCGATGAGCAGCTCTTGTTAGTCAGCCTGTATCAGAATGTTTTTCAACCTTAGCAATTTTAAGGTAAGGGGACTTCAACTCCCAGAATTCCCCAGCCAGGGTGCTAGTTAGGGAACTGTGGGAGTTGAAGTCCCCAAATCTTAAAAGTTGCCCAGGTTGAGAAACACCGGCCTCTGCTTCCCGTTTCCTGCAACTCTCATAGATTTATTTTTTTTTAAAAAAAAAAGATCACAACCAGAAATGCACAAAGTGGAAGAGAATGGGAGGCTACCATTCCCCCCCCCCTTTGCTGGCACTGCCTCAGCATCATGCAGCTGCCAGTGACCCATTTTGGGAAAACTCCACGCGTGGGAAACACCACACAAGCATGCCTGGGCTTGGACAATGGGTGTTAAGTGTGTGTTCTGTGCTTTACAGAGGACACACTCGTGAGACTAGCAGCCAGAGAGCAAGGTGCATGAGAGGGCCCATGTGGCACGCTGGCCAATCACAAGGCACCCTTGGGAAGTTTGATTGAAATTCAGTCCATGAGCAGAGGGGTCTCCAACACTTGGCCACTTTAAGACTTGTGGACTTCAACTCCCAGAATCCGCTGGCTGGGGAATTCTGGAAGTCTACAAATATTAAAAGTTGCCGAGTGTTGGGAGACCCTTGAATTAGTACATTTGAGCTTGTGGAAGAAAATCAACTCGAAACAAGCCGGAAAATAGCTTTTCCCAGCTTTGCTTCCCACCGTCTCCCACCGTTCCCACAGGGTGCCAGGCTTTCCAAACCACTTTGGAAAGGAACATGCATCAGGGTTAACCATCTCCCTTGCCCCAACTGAAGCAGCTGTTAAAGGCCGTTCCCCACCACCACCTTACACCAAAGAGGCAAAGGCATTTGGGGAGTTCTCACCTACCACAGGTATTCTTACGCTGTGCATTCTGGCGCTCGCGTGAAAAGGGAAAAATTGTACCCTCCCTTCCTCTTCCTTACATGGGCCACCCAGGAAGCTGGCTAGCTAGCCTATCACCAGGCAGGACTCTCCACCTCCGACACGACAAATGGACGCCTTGGGCCAACGTGGACGAAGACGAGTGCAGACAGGTCCTCCTTTTGCTTTAAACTCTTACGCCCCAATTCAGAGACGGCGTCCTTGGGCGGCCGAGAGCGCACTTTTGTTGATGTCGCCAGATTGACAAATAATCCCATTTCCCTCCACTTGGAAGTGGAGGGAATAAGCCAAGGTGGTCAGTTCTAAAAGGGGAGGAGGGAGAGACCGAAGCTGCAGAAAAAACGTGGCCTTCCTTCACTCGGTGGACAGAGACGTAACAACGGGCCGTAGCCTGGACCATTGTGCCAAGGGGCTCTCAACAGGGCCGCTGCCCGCTTCCAGAGGCCCAAGAGGTGGGCCTTCAGTTGTGCCTCGGGAAAAAGAAAAGGCACTTTGGCAGCATAGCAGCCCCTCTGTAAGCGGAGCACAGGGCTAACGGAGACGCATCCACAGGAAGCCAGGAAGAAGCCTTGGAGTCTCCACCAGGTTGCAGGAACCGGCGCTGGGGCTGTAAACGGTGGGCTGGTCTCCCACCAGGCTGCGGCTGCTGCGAGGCGATTAATCTCTACAAAGAAAGGGAAGAGGCCAGAACCTGGGAACTCTACTGAGCACTGTCCCAAATGGCTTGCAGGGAGCCTCAAGTATCCAGGGAGGAAGAAATGAGTCCCTCCCCTCCCCCCAAGAACGTAATGCTGTACTCCAGCAAACACCACCACCACCCCCCGCCGCCCACCCCCAGGGGCTAGAGCAAATAAGATCACTACGCAAAAGTGGCCGCACAAAACTGTTTTTCAAGATGGCCGAGCCTGGCTTCCCAGGGCTGACGGTGTTGCTTTCCTTCGGGGAGGAGACGTGGCAGAGAGCGGGGAGGAAGAGGAAGACAGAGGCAGGCCGAGGTGACTGAGATCCCCCCAAAGACCTCCTGCTCCTTGGTCTTCTTTCACAGCCTGGAGTAAGAGGGGTGGGCCGGCAACGTTGCCAGCCGAGCCCTCTCCTTTAAGCATAGTCTATCTGAATAGGGCTGCGGGCTCCTTCGTTCTTATGGTCTGGGCTGGGCACGCTGGTCTTCCCTTCCCCGTCGCTGTTCTCGCCCCCACTGTCCCAGGATTTGGAAGCGGCGATGTAGTCTTTCACAGCAATCTCCATGTTCCTTGCCTTCAAGGCTGCCAAGTGCAGTTTCTCCAAGAACTCAGGCATGCCTGGGATGGGGAGAAGGGGGGGGGGGGGAGAGGACAGGTGAGTGGAGAGGAAAGCATGCCAGCTGAAGGACAAGAATCCAACACCTGCACACAGTCGGTGGAACCGGTCCACTCTCAAAAGCACTAAGCATTCAAAATTAGTGGTGATCCCAGTGGGCTGCTTAGGACCTCCCCCGTGCCTTAAGATGTCCTTGTCTTGAGATTCAGCTTGAAGAGCAATCCCACTGGCACCAGTTGCTACTAGGGCCCCTCAGAAATGCAGGATCTCCGCTCCTCCCAGAACACGGCTGCTTTGGCAGAGTAAAGCCCCAAGTTGCACTCAGGAGCAAAACCTTCTAGACGTCTGAACAGGAGCCCCACCGGAAATCTAGGGACTTGTTCTGCCAGGGCAGGGGTAGGCAACCTTGGCTCTTTTATGACTCGTGGACTTCAACTCCCAGAATTCCTGAGCCAGCTTGAAGTCCACGAGTCATAAAAGAGCCAAGGTTGCCTACCCCTGTGCTAGGGAGAAGCAGTGTACGAGTAGTGTACGAGTAGTCCTCAACTTATGACAACTGAGCCCAAAATTTCCATTGCTAAGCAAGACAGTTAAGTGAGTTGTGCCCTATTTTACTACTACTTTTGCCAGTTGTGAAACAAATCACTGCAGTCGTTAAGCGAATCATGTCGTTGTTAAGTGAATCTGGCTTCCCCCATTGAAACCGATGGCTTTTAGATCACCCGGTTCTGAAATCTGAGATCGCCTGAGGTTTTAGGCCCCCATCATCAACTCATTCTACCACTTTGGCACCCTGTCCTCTAAACTGAAGAATCACAGTCCCCAAACTCACCACTGGAAACCATCCAGCTGACACAGTACCGAGGGAACACCGTTTGTGGGTTGTCACTGTATGTTAGCAGGTAATCGAAGCCATTCTGAAACGAGAAACAATATCGACTAACTGCTGCTCCTCTGAACAAGGAGATCCATACCTATCTGCACGGTCAACTTACTCAATTTAACTCTTTGCTACATAAAACAAATTCGTGAAAAATAAATTATAAAATCAAAGTTGCTATGATAATAACAAGGAAAGAATCATGAAAAATCTCTCTTGCCGTAAGTCATTCGCAAGCAATAAAAGCTTCAGAAGTATCTGGCAGCAACTTTCTTAATAGTCAAAGCATTTTTTTGTTCCCTTTACTTAGCACAGAGGATTTCTGGGGGGGGGGGTGGCTTCTACAGGGCCAACGAGCTCAGCCAAGACCAAAGAAATGATGAGTAAAGCAGTTCCTTGGAACCCCTCGGTGTAAGGAGAGGACAGGAGATCGCTCACAGGCCCTCCAGACAGCTGCTCCCCCTGAGGCTGCTGCAGGGCTGAGGTTTTCTGTGGGTTCAACCTGCTCACAATTGCAGCGCAGACCTTTAAAGGAAGCTACGTTTGCAAACCTCCCTTTCTAACCACTTTCAATCATTCTGAAGTGGAAAACATGCAGCAAGAGGGAGATCACATTCTCAAACAAGTTTAATGTAATTTTTACAACTAAAGAAAGCCTAAAAATACAAAAGTTATCTGCTTAGAAAATCTTGACGCCACCCATTTTGTATAATGGCCATCGCTGTTACTGCTGACCCAACAGTCAATTTATAAAGCCTGACAAGGATTATAGAGGTGATATATAATGCATGTCAAACACTGAGGCCTAAAGTAAAATGTGTATAATAAGACAAAAATAGGAGTCAAACTCACATTAACAATTGTTGCTTCAGCTTCTGACATATTCCTGCTCCATGTAAAGAAAACCTCTTTTAAGTTTAGGATTCCTTATTTTTTTTTTTAAAAAAAAGGAACTCACCTCATCAAATGATTTGTGAGGATGGATAACCATCTGTGACTCATAGGTTCGGACACGGACAAATTCAGGATCTTCTGGGACATTTGGATGTTCAACGGCTCTGACCAAAATAAGAAAGAGGACATACACTTCCATAATCAATGAACCCTCAGTTCAATTCTAGGACTGCAAACACTGTGCAATTGCAAAGAGTAAAGATTATTTTGACAAAGATATGGGAGAATGGCTGCCTAGGACAAAGGGGCTAAAGCACTTTTTAAAGTCCAGGTGATAAGGTTTGAAGTGGTCCAAGCAGATGCCTCTCTACTTCACTAGGGTGTAAGAACAAGGACATAGAATAACAGGGTTGAAAGGGACCTTGGAGATCTTCCCTTACCGTGACACCAGCACCATCAGATTGTTCTCTCGGTCCACATCGTACCGTCGAACGTAAACATAATCCCGTGAATACATTGGGTACTGGAAAGGGATGGGGCAGAGGAAGAAGAAAGAGCAGAGTTGCTAAGACTGGATGGCTGGTGACTGTGCACCGGGGGGGGGGGAGAGGGGGGAGCAAAGGAAGGAGGGCCTTACTGGAAAGTGAGTGACCCAGTGCACCACCTCTGAGCCCGTGTCCCGGTCTCTCTCAATCACTTCCAGTTTGATAACTAGCGAGTCCCATTTCTTCCGATATTCTGTATCCAGCTAGAAGAGAAGAAGTCACACATTCTCAGTCCAGCTACCCTAAACTTTCCGTTTGCTAATGCAATCTAAAAACGGACTGCAAAGCCAACGTTGAAAATCTTGAGGATTCCTGATTTGTTTCCAAAAAGTTCTTCTCTCACCCGAGAAGGCAATAAATCCTTCATGCTCATTTTTGGAGTCTTGGGAGGTTAACTTGTCAGTCTCTCTTTTCCCTCAAAAGGGCAAGCATATGAGAATTCAGGAAAGAGTAGAGAAAAAACCTGAGTGTACTCTTTTGTGCTCTTTTAAACCCAGATCCCGTTCTGCAGAAGACGCGGAACAGGTGCAAAACAGAATGTCTGAGGGCATAAAAAATAAGGTGGGAGAATGAAGAAGAGACTGCAAGAAGAGATATTTGGGAAAGCCAGAAAGAAGCGTTGTGGGCCAAGGCCACTCCCCGTAATAGCACGTGAGTTTATTGATAGTTGGTCATCGGACTATCAGCTTTACCAAGGTAAGCAGCTTAAAAAAAGTATTTATTTTAAAAAGAAAAGAAGTGAGAGAAAAGACTCTCATTTCATTAAAGGAATGGTAAATTAGGGGAAAACGCATCCCAATTAAATGCTATTTTTCAATAAAAAAATGAAGCATCTTAGTGAGAGTTATAAAAAAAACAGTTCAGTGCATCTGATAGATACGTATATAAAGTTTAGTAGTACAGTAACAGAAAAAAAAATAATCGAAAGTAAAGGAAACGGAGCATTTAAGACTCGTTTCAAACTGCCGTAAACTATTTTTCAAAGTAGTTGAGCTTGCCACAGAATAAGTCAAACATTTCAGCTTGATTTTTAGATTTCCAGCTATTTTTGAATATGCATCACCCATTGTAACAATCAGCACTGGGGAAATCTACTTAGCAGATAATTTTGCCTTATTTTATTTGCACTATTTTGAACTATTTTGCCACGCTTTTGAGAGGCCCCTCACACTCCCCCTACGATAAGAATAGGAGAAACAGAACGTAGGCTGCATTAAAGATTTAAGCTGGAGACATCCCGCTGCCCAGGAGAAGCAAGAAGAGGTGTGGGAGAACTCACCTGCACGTTGAAAAACTGTCTTGGTGTCACATCTGTGTACGTTCCAAAGACTACAACAGAATTGGAAGAGGTTAGCAAATCATCCAGCCCAACTTTTGCCAGACGCACACATGATCAGTGTACCAAGACAAGAGTGAATATGAAAAGGGGAGGGGGCTACCTCGATACTGGTACACATGACCTCCGCCAACCGGACGCCTCCATAGTTTGAAATGCTTCTTCTCAACCACCATTTCCCAATTCTCCTCTTCAGGATCAGATGAGACGCCTTGGTAGGCGCTTTGCTCCAGCTCCTGGTTTTCTTCCGCATTGCTCTGGAAGAATCTAGAGATTTCTTGCATGTGTTTCATTTCTTGCACAGACCTTGGGAGAACAACATTGAAACATACCTACTTACTCTCTTCGGTTACATCTTGCATCATGTGTAACATTATTAGATTACTACATCTACCTGTCCCATCAGATCTGGCAGAAGAAACATGCTGTGGGTTCCACCAGGCAGGACCAAGCTCTGGAACCTCTCTCCTGAGGTGAGGTTAGCTCCTGCCCTTATGGTCTTCCATAAAGCCCTCAAAACTGACTGCACCCCCTCCCAGGCACTGCCTGTTCTTCTCCTACATATATATCATGTTTACTGCTATGCCAAGCAAGGCCACCATCCTTACAACGGCTTTCAAAATGTCCTCAGGTATTATGTCCTCTTTCAAATCTTAACAATGCAGGAAGAGATGTAAGGTTTTCCCTCCTGCAACAGCACCAGTATGAGAGGTCAGAAGCTGGGGAGAGGAGGCACCTCAAACCTGCAAACTGTCTAGCTCGTTTAGCTTTTTTTTTCATGATTTTTTAAAAACCATTTCCCATCCCTGGATTTTCTTGGTGGATTTCCCTCCAAGTACTAACCTGGCTTAACCCTACTTAACTTTGGAAGGACAAGTTAAGAAGCTCAGCGTTGCCACTAACAGGGCCTTTTATTTTTATTCTTTTGTCTTAGTTGTCAAATAGCAGCCCTGTTTGCACTTGATGTGGCACAGATCAGGCTGTGCCTCTATTCCTAATCTAACAAGTTAGTTACAGCCTGCATTTTGCACTCCTATTTGGGCAGCAGAAATTCAAGATGCACTATTATTCATACACACTATTATACACACACACACACACACACACACACACACACACACAGTGTGTGTGTGTGTGTGTGTGTGTGTGTGTGTGTGTGTGTGTGTGTGTGTGTGTATAAAAATAAATAAAAAATCGTATTGAAGTGGCTGAGGCCAGTGTTGGGGACTTGCCCAGTGTCATGCAGAGAAGGTCAAGGCAAAGTGGGAAAAACTGTACCAAATCTTTTTCATCATAGTTCAACAACACTCATCAGCACAAAAGCCCATTCCAGGGTCCAGGGGATTCCAGGCCAGCGCTTGGGCAAGAGCATCCTGGATTACACAAAGCATTCAATATTTGTGCAAGACTCAGTCCTGAGCTCAGCAGTACGCAAACAGCCAAAGGGTGTTTGTGCTGTGAGACCTGGTGCCCAAAAGGTTGTTTTTTTTTTTTTTTTGTTGTTTTTTGCTGCTTTAACACAATAGATTCAGCTACAGGGATCCTTTCCAGAAAGAGGAGAAACGTGAAGTACCCCCATGTTCCCGCAGAAGGTGGCTGAATCACCTTTAGTTTTGTAAAGCTTCTAAACGTAACACACATACACACGGCCCTCCCCATAAAGGGATGGTAGTCTGCTAAGCTCAGCAGCACAAAGACGATTTCAGAAAGTCTTTTAAAGAAGGCCGGTGGGAAGGAGGGCTAAGCAAGCCCCTCAAGACATTAATTCCAAGGCTTAGGAAATATCATGTTCAATGTGGAATCTGCAAAGACTCCAAACGCAGGAAAGACACAGTATTTCTCCAGGCAGCATGGACAGGAAAATGAGCCCTTTCAGGTTCTTTGGTCCCAAGCTGTTCAGAGCTAGAAAGAGCGCCAGAGGAATACTGGGAGCCATTGTTGGCAGCCAACTGTCTGACAATGAACTCACACATTCCCAGTAACTGGCCCCAGCTTTAGCAGACGAGATTCCTGCAGCTTTCAAGCGCTGCATTCACTTTGTGGCGTGATCGGCTCCTCCGGATTTTTAAATCCCGCACAGGTATATACAGTCTGCTAAAGTTAGGGAGTCTGGCCTCTGCCAGATATTCAGCACTTCGGCTGTCATCAGCGGCCCATGAAAAGCTGATCTGGAATTTATCATACAACACACCCTGCATAGCAGATCACACGTCTACAGAATCAAGTGCACTTCAGGACAGATAGGTGGTAAGAAACAGATCCCAACATATCTCGTCTAGGTAATTATTTGAAAACACACAATAATGAATGCTGTTTGCTTTAACCGGAGACTACAAGTCGTGCTTTCCTTCACGTGATAGATAATAACTCCCACAATGGTCAACAAGGCACCCATTATTATACTGACTAGGAATTAGGGAAACTGCAGAGTACTACTGTGTTTCCCTGGAAGTAACCCCCCCCAAGAAAGTAAACCCCAGCTTGATTTTCAGAGGTGGGCCTAATATAAGCCCCCCCAAAAGCAAGCTCTAGTTTGGCGAGCGTGGGAGTGGGGAGGGGGTGAAGCTGCCCCACACGCCCCGCACCCACTTACCTTGCAAGCAGGACCGCTGCAGCCAGGCGTCCCATGCCGTTGCTTGCAACAGGAGTAACGGCAACATCGTGAAGCGCCATGCGGCGTCCTGCTGCGAGCAACGGCAACGTTGATTGACCTTCCCCCCCAAAAAACTTTCCTTTCCCTGCACGCAGTGGCGGAGGATCGTGAAGGAGAAACGGCCCGGGGCTGGGAGTCAGGTAAGGAAAGAAATGCAATTCCTGGGGGAAGCAAGGGCATCTGGCGGTGGTGTGGCAAGCTCGCCCGCCCGCTTCAGCACCCTCCCTCCCCGAGCCTCCGGCGCTCCACCTGCCGCTTTGGTCGGCCTGGCCTCCCCCAGCTTGGCACCCTTCCCTGGCCTACCATCGCAGGGGGGCCCCCGTCCACTTGGAACAGCCCCTAAGCCTTAGAAGCAAGCGGAGAAGACCTACCTCTTCAGCTCCTCTTCTTTGATCCTTTCCTCTTCCCACAGGAACACTCCGGTGAGGGCTGCCATCAGCTTGCAGGCGTTGGCATGATGACCCTGGAAGCGGCGCAACAAGGAAGAAAAGAGACTCTTGCGCGCCCGCTCGGAGTAAATGTTACTGTACAGCTGCGCAATCTGCTGAGCACGCCTGATTCTCTGGCTGGTCACATAGCTGCACTGACTGGCCAGCAGGGACAGCAGGCTCTTCTGCCCGGGGTCTTGCTCTGAGCCTTTCCGAAGCCATGTCAGCAGCCACTGGTACCTGCCCTTCAGGAAGGTCTCATTCCACCACACGCACCCGGGGGGTTTCCCTTCGTAGCTGAGGAAGCGGGCGGAGTTAGCGTACAGAGAATAAAAGCTGGAGGGGGGCCTCCATTGAAGTGGATGGAACATTCCTGCCAACGCCTCACTGACCAGTCAATGCCCTGGGCAAAAAAACAATCACAACAGAACATTAGTCACAGAAAAGGCCACCAGTTTTTGGTATTTAGAATTCTCCTCTCTTGACAGCATCACAGTTAAGGGTAGCTTTTGTATTTCAGAGGAGAACCACGTGGATAAGGCAGCTCCTTCAACAATACATGTCAGCAATCTAGCAGAGGTTTATAGACCAAAACATACGCTGCAGAAACTCATAATAAAAACATCTTTGTTTTGGTCAGCCTATTTTTGTTGTTTAAATGAAAAGATATCTGTCTAGGCTGCTTTAATAAATATGCCAAAGCACAGTTAAAGAATAATTCTGCTATGCTGTTGCCTTATTGTTATTTGTTCATTTCATGTTGCTATTGCTTTAGTGCACCAGGTGTCAAACCCGCCACGTTGCGATTCTTTTTGCATTGCTGGCAATGAAACCGGCCTGTGGGCCGGCAGTTTGACATCCCTGCTTTAGGGTTATTTATTCTAAAACAATTTATTTCAGTCTCTTCCACGGAATAGAACTAAATACCTAAAAAGACTGGCAGACATGTCAGTAATAGATTTGTGTAAGAAAGGTTGACAGGCCATTTATTACCTGGATTTGGTTTTTACCCCCAATCTAATCCAAAGTCAAAGTATAAAATAGAATGAAATTAATACCTTACATTTCTTAAGTGCAGAGATAAAATACCTGGATTCATACATCCCACTACAAATACATGAGCATCATATGGTATGATATAAACCAAAAGCAAACATACCACTAAAGATCCAACGCATAGCATGAAACAACTCCGTGAAATCACTATAAAAATGCACAGATGAAGAGGGATGCTGGAAGCAGCAAAAAAGCAAAAGCCTTTACAGAATTTAAATTATGTCTCGCATTCAAACAAACAAGTATTTCCAAAGAGAGAGACTTTCCGCAACGCAGTGGAATCATTCATGAGGATAAGAGGGAGGAAAGTCAGCTACACCTCATTTTCTTCAAAAAGAAGAACCCCTTGTATCACTATTCAACATTTCCAGCATGGAAACCTTCCCTCTTGGAGAAGCAAGAGTCAAAAGCAAGAAGCATGCTTCCTCTAGCGCTATTCTCGGCATCCTATTATAGGCCTCAAAAGCAGACACAGTAATCGGTATTAGCAACAGGATCAGCTTGCTTCTTAGCAACCTAGAAATGACCCGGGTGCAGGAATGCTTGGAGCATACCTCTGAACAGTAGCTCAACCCAAAAGGGGGAACAGTGCAAGAGTCTTCTTTTGCAGTAGAGATTTCTGCAGCAGCTGCCAAGTAAGATTCTTCCAACTCTCAACAGTATCAAGAAAGAGAGAAATAGCCCGATGGTTAGCTGCACTCCTGCTGATCAAGAACATGCTCATTAGCTTGCCTGCTCTACCTAGAGATTAACTTGTGGTCAGAAGTGAGTTTGGGAAAAGGAGTAGGAAGTCTCACGGGTTTGGTTGCCGATCAAAGCTTTTGAGGTTGCCGAATGCTGAGGTGTGTAAGATGCAAAATCTAATTAAATACTCCAAGGTTTCGTTTCTTTGATTAGAAGGACAGCAACTCTTCAAATCTAGCAAATGGTGAAAGTCTAATATTCTATTCCAATTTAAAAGAATCCATAAATATCTGCAATCTATTTCAGAATTAGATATAATTAAAATATGAGAAAGGGAAAAGAAACCTTTAACGGTTGCACAATAAAGTAAATATTAAGTAGTGAGACTCATCTTTAACATTACAAACTACAGAATTAATCGATGCTAGCTCATAATCTTTATTGTACCTTGAGGAGGTAGTCACAGAATTAAAACAGTTCTGAATGAGAACGTGTGCTGTGCACCAGTGTTCAGCTGGCTGGGGAATTCCGAGAGTTGAAGTCTGCATATCTTAAAAGTTGCCAAGATTGAGAAACACTGTCCTACACTGTGGAAAATAAATCCTACAAGACAATTCTCACCATCAACAATCTCAGGTTCAAGAATAAAAAACAAAACAAAACACAAACCTTAACAGCAGAGTTGTGAAGGTATATTTAAAAGTCACCCAGGACAAATTTCAGAATGGATGATAAGAACGATTTCCACTAAGCTCTTGGAAGATAAGGAGAGTTACAAAATGGTGCAGAGCTTCTATTGCTCTATGACTTTCAACAGCACAGTTATTCACAAATGTACAAAATAACCTGCATTATCCCTAGTAGTTTGCAGAGAAACATTTTAATTTTCAGCATGTGCACAACTGCTTACATCCAAAGATAGCAAATTATAGGTTTGAGCCGAAATACATCCATCTGAAAGCTGAAACATATTTTCTTTTTCCTTTGCACATGGCCTCAATCAGAAAGCTACAGAAATACATAGATAACATTCGGTCAGATGACTTTAAGTTAAAGAATTTTAATGCCACATGCAATCTAGAACAATAATTTCCCATCCCCTTGAAAACCATCAGGTTGGCAAGTATAGAAAAAGATACTGAAATGCATTAAATATCTGCCATGCATCATTGGCGATAATTATAAAGCAGCCTCCATTGCTTTTTGTTCCTACATTATGGTCTTCTGAGAATACCTAGAGACAGTTTGGTTTAACGGAATATAGGTGCAGGCTTAGAAAGCAGGAGACTGAGAATTTTAGGCCTTCCTTAGGTATGAAAACTGGCCGTATAACTTTGGGCCAATTGTATTATCAGCCCACCTGACACATAGTTGCCATTGTGGGAAGAACAGAAAGCAGGGGTATTAGATATGTTTGCCATTGTGAATTATATATGAAAAAGCAGGATAAAAATATAATAACAAAAATAGAAGAACTGTGGCAAAAGAAAGCAAAAAAGACATTTTATTGCCACAGTAAAAGTGTACTTGGGCAAGAAAGACATTTCTGGCTCCACAGATTATGGTGATTTAAAGGTGTGTAATGTCCGACACTTGAAGGCAGGACAAGAAGCAACGGAGGGAAACTGATCAAGGAGAGAAGCAACCTAGAACTAAGGAGAAACTTCCTGACAGTTAGAAGAATTAACCAGCGGAACTGCTTGCCTCTGGAAATTGTGGCTGCTCCCTCACTGGACAGCCACTTGTCTGGAATGGCATAGGGCAGTGTTTCTCAACCTTGACCATTTTAAGGCACGTGGACTTCAACTCCCAGAATTCCACAGCCAGCAATGCTGGCTGTGGAATTCTGGGAGTTGAAGTCCACATGCTTTAAAATGGTCAAGGTTGAGAAACACTGGCCTAGGGTCTCCTGCCTGAGCAGGGGGTTGGACTAGAAGACCTTCAAAGGTCCCTTAGGCATATCCCTCGGTGATCCAGCCTGCTCCACTGGATTCCCATCCATCCAGGATACCGTCCTTTGCACAACCAGCCTCCAAGAGGTCTCCCTCCAAGGAAGAGGTCCAAGAAAGCCCCCCAGCCCCCATTTCTGGCCGCTTGGCTGGGCGTCCCTCCCGCTGCGTCCTCCCCCCTTCGACCCTTGCAGGAATAAGCCGGCCAAGGCTGCAGCCACGGTGCCTTTCCAGGCCTCGGAGCCCGGAGTCTCCCCTCCCCCCCCACGCCCCTCTCAGGGTTGGCGCCTTTTCCCAGCATTCACGGCGGCGGCCCCGCCAACTGGCCCCCCGCCCCCTCAGGCACCAGGGACTACAATTCCCAGAGGCCTGCTCGGGAAAGCGAGCGCTGGGGCTGGGGGGGGGCGGTCGTGAAGGAGCCTCGGCGGCGGCTCCGCGCCGCGCTCACCTGACGAAGCCTCTCCCCGCGGCCCTCCAGCCGGTGGCGCGGCCCGAGCGGAAGCCCGGGGGGCTGTGGGGCGAAGGTGGGGCGGCCCGGCTCGGTGCGGCGCGCTTCCCGCCCGCCCGCCCGCTCTCCTCGCTTTCCTCTCGCGGCGGAGAAGCCCTCAGAAAGCTGGCTCCGCTCGCTAGGCCGCGCCCCGCGCCTATTGGCCGACGCCTAGGCATCCCGTCTTCCGATTGGAGGAAGGAGACGTCCGTCTCCCTCCCTTTCCTGCGACCTCGCGACCGGCATGCCGACTCTCCTCCGATCGCTCGCCCGCCCACCGCGCCGGAGCTCCGCCTTGTGACCCACTCAAGGGCGCCTTGGAGACAGGAGGACCCCGGCGGGGCTGGCCTGGACGGCGCCGGCGTGAAAAGCTGCCGGCGGCGTCAGGCTGCTAGGCCGCAGCCTTGTCTCGGGGCCTTCCGGCCAGCAAGGTCGATGGGAAATGCAGTCCAGTGCCGTCCAAGCCAAGATGGCGCATGCTGCGCTTGGATTCTCCTTGTCGGGTCTTATAAAAAGGGGAACTTCCTTTCCCGGAAGTTGCCATTTGGGAATTCCACGTTGCTGCGCCTGGTACCCTCCAGAGATGCACAACTCCCAGCCTCTGGATGCTGTTGGGGAACTCTGTAGTTCAGTGCAGCATTTGTCAACCTCAGCCAATTGGAGGTGTGGACTTCAGCTCCCAGAATGCCCCAGCCAGCACTTCCTGACCGTGCTATACCAGTAGTTCCTCGACTTACAACAGCTCATTTAGGGGCTGTTCAAAGTTACAATGGCACTGAAAAAAGAGACTTATGACCGTTTTTCACATGACATCTCCATGGTCATTTGGTCAAAATTCAAACGCTTGACAACTGACTCATATTTATGACGTGTCCCAAAGTCATGTGATCTCCTTTTGCGACCTTCTGACAAGCAAAGACAATGGGGAAGCCAAGATTCACTTAACAACCGTGTTCCTAACTTAACTGCAGTGATTCACTTAACAACTGTGGCAAGCAAGGTCATAAAATGGGACAAAACTCAATTAAAAAATGTCTCACTTAGCAACAGAAATTTTGGGCTCAATTGTGGTCGTTAGTCGAGGACTACCTGTAATTTCTTGGTGGTTTCCCATCCAAGGACTTAAAGTACAACTTACAAAGTTCATTTAGTCACTATTCAAAATAACAGCCGCACTGAAAAAAGTGACTTATGACCGTTTTTCACACTTATGACCGCTGTAGCATGCCCATGGTTGCATGATTTATATTCAGATGTTTGGCAACTGACTCATATTTATGACCGCTGCAGTGGAGTCATGTGATCCCTTTGGCGACCTGACAAGCAAAGACAATAGGAAGACAGATTCCCTTAACAACCGTGTTCCTAACTGAACTGCAGTGATTCACTTAAGAACTGTGACAAGGAAGGTTGTAAAATGGGGCAAAACCCAGTTAACAAATTTCTCAGCAACAAAAATTTGGGGCTCCACTGTGGTCGTAAATTGAGGGCTTCCTGTACTGTATTCCATGTAGCTTTTGATTTGCTATGAACTGCCACCCCGTGGAGAGAAAGCAAAGGAACTCTCTCACGCAAACATCCCAACAGAACACACACTTAATATTGCCCCACTGAGAGATTTCTTTGAGCTCATTAGAAAAAGGACAGTCCTACCCAATGCTTCTAACAACTGCTCATAATGACCGGTGTTCCTGAGAATATCCCCAAAACAATATCAATTTCTCCATCAAAATGTTCCTTTTTCTTTCTGAAGCCACGTTCAAGCGACCTAAACTATTATTTGAATTTGCCACTGAAAAAACAACTGCAGCACATATTCTAACCCTGAACCTTCTGTGCTATAAATACATTTTAACTAATTTCTAACACTGGTTTTGCATTTGAACGAGAGCAACTACTTCCACGTGATTGCCAAAAAATCTTGAATCCAACTTGAAGACAGCTTTACTCCCCCACCCTGCTATTCCAAGGAATAATCTGCATTACTTCAACATTTAAAAGATTTTGAGGAGTCCCGTAAAATATGTGGCAACTTTTATTTTAAAACATGAACTTGTTTCAGAAATATTTCTCTTCCACAGATTCCTCAAACACCTTTGTGGAGGTGTAACATTACCTATATTAAGAACAGATTCTCTGGAAACCATAACCTCAAGTAGCTGCTATTAAGAGTGCAGGTTTGAGTTGCACAACAGGGTGGGATCACTACTATCCAGGACCCGTCATGGGTACAATTCCATTTTTAAAAGGACTGTGATGAGAGTAGGGAGAGATAATTACAAAAAGTGCCAAATATTTTTAAAATGTGAGATGTTGTCGCCCTTTTCTCTCTGCCTCCTCCTGTGACCTTCCCCTTGAAATGTATTACATTCTCAAGCTGATTTCTAATGAACTGGATAATCTGGAGAACAAGGAAAGCCGTGTTGGCTCCATCCATACAAGCATCTACATTGTTAGGGATTACAGTTCATTCAAGCAATTCTGCGCTTGTTTTCTATTGTACCACAGCTCTCACACTGTTGTAACAGTAATACTTTTGGCAGTGTGCATAACTGGTGTTCTTGCATCACTGCCTAACTTTGGAAGGGGCTTTCTTTTTTAACTAAAGCATCTTCAGGCCAGGATGTAAAATTCTTTGGTTTGGCCAAGCATTTTTCAAGAAGGTTGAGGAGAAGACTTCATTTCCCCGAATCTTGAAACTCGGCTCTAGCCTTTGCAGAAAAGGGTATTCTAATCCTTTATTGTGCATCAGCTTTAAGAAAGAGAGAGAGATTCGAGGCAGACAAGAGTAAATGCACTGCAATGTGGATATTATTTAAAAAAATAGAAAATGTTAAATGCAGAACAGGAGCTTTGCGAGCAGTCGGCCAACTTTCAAAGAGACAACAGACAAATTGGGTTTGCCCTTCCCGATGGAGGCAGGCGCACAAGCCTCTCAAATTCTGTCATCATGCCTTTACAAGCTGCACTTCAAATATTTGCTAAGAGGCAATTTACACCATTGTTTTATTTTTGGTAGAAAAAAGGAATCCAGATTTTACCAATGGGAGTTAATCAACAGTGCTTCATCAACGATGCTCTAGGTCTAAAATGATCGTATGGAGATTGTTTTTTTTTTTATCAAATCCTGCGATTAGAAAGAAGGCAGATTGGGGCCACCAGTTATTCTGAAGATGAATCAAGATGAATCAAGCTCCCTTTGGCACATGGAGGTGCTGCCTTTAGTGCTTCCCGACCTTGAGCCAGAAAAGGGGAAGAGAGCAAATACAGTATTTTCCCATTACTCCCTTCAAGATCCAAATAGCAACAGCACGAAGCGATAGCACTTAAGACTTATATACCGCCTCATAGTGCTTTACAGCCCTGTCTAAGCGGTTGATAGAGTCAGCGTATTGCTCCCAACAATTTGGCTCCTCATTTTACCGAACTGGGAAGGATGGAAGGCAACCTTGAGCTAGTCAGGATCGAACTCCTGGCAGTCGGCAGCCTGCAACGCTGCATTCTAACCACAGCGCCACCGCGTCTCAAATACAAGAGACTAAGTGGAAATAGTAAAAGTATGCACAACGTTTACAGCCAAATTAGCAGGAAGCCATCTGAAGGGAGCAAAAGGCCCTGCTGGCATCGCTACTGGCTGTTTTGTGAGCACATGGAAAGCACAAAAGTAAGATTGGGGCACCCAATTGAACTGCCTTTTTTTAAAAAAAAGTCATGTTTCTTCTGCATTCCACAACTTTGTCCTTCTTGGCTTTTAAAAGATGAAGTCTTGAGAGTCTAATAAAAATTCTGTCCCAATTTTTCTCCCATGCAATTAATAGAACAGGAAAGGATCTTCTTCCCACCATTTCCAACCCCATGTTTATACTGGTCGTTATGTTAACACGCTCAGGCTCTAGAGACTATCACGTGCTCTGCATGAACTGGCACAGATAAAGAGACGGATTAAAGTCCGCTCTAACTTGGAAAGACCAAATCAGCCCCCGAGGGCGGCTTCAGCATTCAACACCCTCCGACATCTCGGACAGGTTTCTCGGCATTATCCTTTCATCTAGTTGAACAGGAACACACTTCCATCAAGTCAAGCCGGTTTTACTTGGTTTTACAATCTCAACTTTCTTTTAAAATACACACACGCGCGCACATACACACACACTCTCCTGGACAGGCTGCTCGCTCACTCCGTTTTGTGTAAGCTAACCTCCCAGAGTCAGTAAAAGCATGTTTTAGTGAATACAAAACATTGCTGGCTTATTTGAAGCAGGTTTACCTCAATGCAGGGAAAAAGGAAACGGTTAACTATATTCTCTTTGTACAGAAAGCGAGCTCTGAAATGCTCTGTCAGATACTACCTGGAGCTAACAGGAGGACTTCTGTCTGTGAAACACTGGCGGGTCAGAAGGATGGGGCCAGAGGCGATGGAGGAGGTTTGAGATACAAAGGCGGAATCGGTTCGGGAAAGACATACCGAAAAGGTAACAGTGGAAATCAAGCCTGGAATCGGCATTTGCATATAGTCTGGACATGGGTGGTGGGGAAGAACGTGGTTCTGGTATGTTGCCCTGCGAGAGGGGCTGAAGGCCTGGCAATTGTGCAGCGGGAAGGCCAAATGGAAGGACAGCCCCGGAGTTCCTTGCCAGAGACAGAGGAGCCCGCTCTAGCTCAGGGAAAACTCAGTAGTAGCAACGTCCGCCTCCACTAGGGAAAGAGGAGGAGGCTGTGAGAAGAGCAGAGAAAGTGCAAAAGGCTTCTGCGGAGTCGCAGGAGGCAGAATGGGGGAGTGGAGGAAACCATGGCGGAAGGAAACGTAACCCTGCTTTTCAGGAAGCACACGGTTCGGCCGAAAAGTGTCCCCTCTCCACAAACCAGTGCACGGAGAAGGAGTCCCATCTTCCGGGGTGCTGAAAGCCAAGCCTGTTGGCCCCAGGGGCGAACATCTGAGAGTCCCCTTCCGCTCTTCTCCCGAAGGAGAGACAGGAGCTCTGCGGGTGGGGGTACGGGACGGCTGGATTCTCCGCTGCCCACACGCCCACCTGTGCGAAACGTCCTAGCGCAATGCCAAAAATGGTGGAACCCTTTCCTCCTCCTCCCCCCCATCCCCCCAGCCCTTTCCCGTTCAATCAAGCTGTCTACGTGCCTTTCCTTTTCGCATCCTCCTTTCCCTCTCTCCAGACCTCCCTCTGGAGCCCCCGAGCTCTGCAGCTCTTTGCAGCTAGAAAACGTCGGGCAGTTCTCGTGGCCCCTGAATGCCTGAGGTTCAAACCCCACCCCCAACTGTCCCCCAATTGCTTCGGAACACGACTGCTTCGGAGGCCGCTGCAGGCGCAGGTCTTCTGCAGCCCTCTCCCTGGACAGGAAACGGTAAAAGGGAGCAGATCCACGTGGGGGAGGGGGGAGGAAGGAAGGGGGGGGAGAAAGACCTACAAGAGGAGGTTCCAGGAAGAGAAAGGAACGTATTCCCAAGCAATTGTGTGCAGGTTGACTTTGGGGACGGGCTGGAAGAAACCCCCTTTGCCCCAGCCATCGTCCGGGAAAGCGTTACGGCGTGTAAGCCGGAGGTGGCTGGAACTGGTTGATCCCTTCGTACTCGGTGGGGTAAGGTTCGTTCTCCTCCATCTCGGAGAGGAGCTCCAAGGCCTGCTCCTCCTCTTCAGTGGGGTAGTGGCGCAGCAGGTTGGCGGCCGTGGCCAGGATGGAGGCCCCGCCGGCTCCAGCCACCAGGTAAAAGCTGACGGCAAACGTGACGTAGACTTGCGAGCCGTGGTACTTCTTGTGCTGCTGCTGCTGTGCGAGGATCAGCTCCGAAGCCCAGTAGCAAAACCCGATCACGGTGGCACACTGCAGCACTGCGGGCAGAAGGAAAAGACGGATGGAAACATGGGGAAGGAGGGCACGGGCAATGACGCTTTCTCAGGCTGACACAGAGACAGAAAGAGGGAGAGAGAGAGGGAGAGGGAGGGAGAGAGAGAGAGGAAGAGAGAGGGAGAGAGAGGGAGAGAGAGAGAGAGGGAGAGAAAGAGGGAGGGAGGGGGAGGAAGAGAGAGAGAGAGAGAGAGAGAGAGAGAGAGAGGGAGAGGGAGAGAGAGAGAGAGAGAGAGAGAGAGAGAGAGAGAGAGAGAGAGAGAGAGAGAGAGAGAGAGAGAGAGAGGGAGGGAGAGAGAGGGAGAGAGAGAGAGAGGGAGAGAGACCAACTAATTGTGCCTTCAATGCAGATGGGACTCGTAAAGCAATGTGGCGCATAAGCTCAATAATTTCACGAGGGGAAAAATTAACACTGTAGGAACACACCAAAGGGTCTGCTCAAGGCTCAAGATAAAGCATAGATGGGGAGAGATGTAAGTATTTGATGGACCAGTAAGAGAAACGGACGGTTGTGGAAGCCCCACGGGAGCTCCCCAAAGGAACACGAAGCGGAACCCAAAGCCAAGGCTGCCCAGCTACCTGTAAGGATGTGAGCAAAGGCGTAACGCCGAGTAATCTTCAGTGCAGGATGTTTGGGCCCAAAGACGTCGAGAAGGAAAGCTGAAAGGCTGCAGATGATTCCCAAGAAGCAGAAAGCAGCAATCACCCGAAGTAACAACACCGTCTGGGGGTTCATGCAGTAGTCTGGAAGGAGGGAGAGAGAATCAAAGAGTAGTTTGCGTTAGTGGCATTACTTCTGATCAGAAACGCTTCGTCGTTTCACAAATTCAGAAATGTCTGTAGCCCAATGCAATATTATTCGCTGAATATTCTGATTCCGACAAAGCCTTCTGTTACTGGGATATTCTTCAGATATGGATAATTTGTCTCTCGGAATTGCCCAGCGAAGCTGTTAGTCAGGATTCTAAAAAATTCACAAATCTCGAGGAGTCAAAGTTACAGAAGGCTGAGTTTGGGTGGAAGGAAAATATCTCAAACTGCGTGGTTTATATATAAAAAAAGTGTTTAATGGATGAAAATGAACTCCCAGAATTCCTGAGCCAGCCATGCTGAGGGGAAAGGGAGAGGTTTCCAAGGTGAACCATGCTGGCTCAGGAATTCTGGGAGCTGAAGTCCACCTGTCATAAAAGAGCCAAGGTTGCCTACCCCTGGCTTAGAACCTCAGACATCTGCTTGCTGAACTTCAAGACAAAGTACAGATTTAACATTAGGGAGAAGACAGTGAAACTCTATTTAAGATGAGGCAGAAATTTCCTTTCCACCCACAGATCTTCACAAGAAATGGTTTTCCCCTTTGCAAGCAGTTAGTTTAAACCTGCAGCACGTCTACCACCCAGGTCAGTCTTTCTCAGCTTTAGCAACTTGTAAGATGCATGGACTTCAATTCCCCAGAATTCCCCAGCCGGGATGCATAATTCCACCATCTTTAAGTTGCTGAGGTTGAAAAACACTGACCTACTGTAGGTGACCGTGACTCTGGCCAAATAAACAGCAGAGGATCAGACACACAGGCCAATCTACAGTTATCTTTAAGAGCACCAATCCAATCCCTTTTTTCATTTCCTTCTCACCTTTAAGTAGATCCGGGTCAATGTATCCCAGCACATCGGCAACACCCAGCTCCTGGCGAGAACAGGTGCCCCCATGAATCCTTAGCCAGGCAGGCTCTGCCAAGGCAGTGCACAGGGCCGTTATTGAGAGGGCCCCGGGCAAGGCAGATGCCAGGCTCCTTTCAGGCTGCTTTGGCAAGGCACTCCCATCTTGCCCTCTTCGCCTTCGGCCGCTGGGCAACACTGAACCACTTGGGGTATACATGGATCTCCTTTCGGATGTCCGGCCAAATAAATCCAATGCGACAACGAAGACTGAAACACTTGGGATTTTCAGAGGTCAGTACTGCCAGTGCTACTGGATACTAGCCAGGAGACGGCAGATCAACACAAGGCCTGCAGACAGGACATAACATCAGGAGAGGGGTGGTCTCTGGACTCTGTTGAGGAAGCAAAAAGAGACAATTGATGATGACATGCAGATATAAGATGGGACCAGAAAGTCTTGCTTCTAAGTGGCCATGATATGGATCGATGCGTCTAAGTTCGCTTCTAGCTACCAGAGTTTAATCGTTGGGCTGGAAAATGTTAGGGACATTTGCCAAGGTCAAGCAGAGGAAAAAACAACAAGATTGGTTCCCAACCTTAAAGGCACGTGAAGAGGCTTGGAATCTGGGTTAGCAAAAATGTGAAGGACGACAATAATTCTCAGACCGAAGAAAGGGATTAAGCCCAATAGTCACAAGGATATTTCCTTTAAAGCAATGGGGGTCTGGCGCAGTATTTTCACAAAACATTCCTTCGTCTTTCGTTTCAAGACCACTAACATCTAAAAACAGTTTGACAAAGGCCACACACGTCTCCACCATACTGACAGCAACATGCGTAATACTTGAAGATACTAACCGCCATTTGAGAAATATTAAACATGATGGGAGCTCTTACTCTCAAGGCCACGGTACATCTACACACTCTTTTGTTCTCAGCAAAGCAATCTGATAAGAAGCAACTCTTTCCTTAACCACTCTTAAATAGCATTACCATTTATTTTATCTAATTCCTGAACCAGATTACCTTTAAAGAGTGCCTATTTAAAAGGCCAAAGAAAATGAAACATTCATCTATGGATTGAATATGCAGGTGCAATTTAGCCATATATCTGAACAAGAAAGACACATTTTGTCCATTTACCCTGACAATTTCTTTCTCTTGGGCTCAAGCCAGAAATAAGCCACTCTGCAGGATGCTGTTAGCTCTCTCTAGGATCTTCCTAAGAAAAAGATGCTGCGGGCACAGAAACCACAATTCACTGCCAGACTCTTTTTAACCTTGCAACCTAGTGTGCACAAGGCTGGAGGTTATTAGATTTTTAATTAGGACACAATTCAGGCCAGAAATAATTCAGTCAAAGTTCGATGCTTGCAGACTTAATAGAAGGAGCAAGGTTTCTTCCAGTGTCCTCTTCCAGAATTGATTTTTATAAATAGCTCAATAATTAAAAGAATGAAAAGAAACCATATACGTTATTGAATTCAATCCATGCTCGGGGCAGGAATCCACAGTGTAGTACAGGTAGTCCTCCACTTATGACCACAATTGAGCCCAAAGTTTCCGTTGCTAAGCAAGGCAGTTGTTAAGTGAACCACTACAATTGTTTAGTTAGTAACACTGTTGTGAATCTGGCTTCCCCATTGACTTTGCCTGTCAGAAGGTCTCAACAGGCAATCACGTGACCTTGGGACACAGCAATGCCCTTGACGTGATGACCCGTTGCCTGGAGGCCGTACGGGTCTGGATGGGGAGGAACAGACTCAGACTCAACCCTTCCAAGACCGAGTGGCTGTGGTTGCCGGCGCCCCGGCATAGCCAGCTGACTCCATCGCTGTCTATAGGGGGTGAAACTTTGGCCCCCTCAGAGAGGGCACGCAACTTGGGTGTCCTCCTGGANGATGGGACCAGAAAGTCTTGCTTCTAAGTGGCCATGATATGGATCGATGCGTCTAAGTTCGCTTCTAGCTACCAGAGTTTAATCGTTGGGCTGGAAAATGTTAGGGACATTTGCCAAGGTCAAGCAGAGGAAAAAACAACAAGATTGGTTCCCAACCTTAAAGGCACGTGAAGAGGCTTGGAATCTGGGTTAGCAAAAACGTGAAGGACGACAATAATTCTCAGACCGAAGAAAGGGATTAAGCCCAATAGTCACAAGGATATTTCCTTTAAAGCAATGGGGGGTCTGGCGCAGTATTTTCACAAAACATTCCTTCGTCTTTCGTTTCAAGACCACTAACATCTAAAAACAGTTTGACAAAGGCCACACACACGTCTCCACCATACTGACAGCAACATGCGTAATACTCAAAGAGAATTATTGAAGATACTAACTGCCATTTGAGAAATATTAAGCATGATGGGAGCTCTTACTCTCAAGGCCACGGTACATCCACACACTCTTTTGTTCTCAGCAAAGCAATCTGATAAGAAGCAACTCTTTCCTTAACCACTCTTAAATAGCATTACCATTTATTTTATCTAATTCCTGAACCAGATTACCTTTAAAGAGTGCCTATTTAAGGCCAAAGAAAATGAAACATTCATCTATGGAATGAACATGCAGGTGCAATTTAGCCATATATCTGAACAAGAAAGACACATTTTGTCCATTTACCCTGACAATTTCTTTCTCTACGTGCTGCTTCTCTTGGGCTCAAGCCAGGAAGAAGCCACTCTGCAGGATGCTGTTAGCTCTCTCTAGGATCTTCCTAAGAAAAAGATGCTGCGGGCACAGAAACCACAATTCACTGCCAGACTCTTTTTAACCTTGCAACTTAGTGTGCACAAGGCTGGAGGTTATTAGATTTTTAATTAGGACACAATTCAGGCCAGAAATAATTCAGTCAAAGTTCGATGCTTGCAGACTTAATAGAAGGAGCAAGGTTTCTTCCAGTGTCCTCTTCCAGAATTGATTTTTATAAACAGCTCAATAATTAAAAGAATGAAAAGAAACCATATACGTTATTGAATTCAATCCATGCTCGGGGCAGGAATCCACAGTGTAGTACAGGTAGTCCTCCACTTATGACCACAATTGAGCCCAAAGTTTCCGTTGCTAAGCAAGGCAGTTGCTAAGTGAATTTTGCCCCATTTATGATCTTTTTTCCTGCAGTTGTTAAGTGAACCACTACAATTGTTTAGTTAGTAACACTGTTGTGAATCTGGCTTCCCCATTGACTTTGCCTGTCAGAAGGTCTCAACAGGCAATCACGTGACCTTGGGACACAGCAACCGTCGTAATTATGATGAACTAGTTGCCAAGCATCCAACGTATATCATATGAACATGGGGATGCTGCAGCCGTCATAAATGTGAAAAAGGATCATAAGTCACTTTTTTCAGTGTTGTTATTAACTTTGAACAGTCACTAAATAAACAGGTGTATGTTGAGGACTGGTTGTATTGCCAATTGCTGGTTACTGGTCTTTCACTGAGCACACCCAGCTTCAAAGTTTCTTGATAATGGGTTCTATTCTCAAACTGCTCTTACAATAATCCTGGACTTACAACTCTTCATTTAGCAACAGTTTTGAATTTACACCTTTTAGACTTTAGACTAACTTTATTGTCATTTTAAATATACACAATTGGTATACGTTAAAATGAAATTTCATTGCATACTGTTCTCAAAGGGTCACCACCTCCAATATACACTACATAAATGACACAAAAAAGAATTGCATATACCCCCATACCCACAACATTGCAGTATCCCCGTGGTCATGTAATCAAAATTCGGACCCTTGGCAACCAGCATACATTTAACCAGTTGCAGCATCTCGAGATCGTGTGACTGTCATTTAGAAGCTTTCGAGCTGGCTTCTGAAAAGCAAAGTCAATGGGGGTAGCTGGATTCGCTTAACGGCCATGTATTCACTTAACAACTGCCGCGATTTGCTTAACAACTGTGGCAAAAAACGGTTATGAAATCTGGCACAACTTGCTTAAGAAATGGAAATTCTGATCCCAGTTTTGAATATAAGTCAAGGACTGCCTGTATTGCTGTAAGGCTGTTCCCAACATTCAACCAGAATCTGTCTTCCTGTGACTTTTATTCCAACGGAATGACAGAGAACAGATTGTGGCTTTCTTCTTCCTGCATTACATCTCGCCTTAAGGAATTTTTCTCAAGGCAACACACACACACACACACACACACACACTCTCTCTCTTCATAAGGCTTAGCTTCCAGTCCTGTGATTATTCTCACTGCCATTCTCTATACGCTATACTCACAGAATAACAGAGTTGGAAGAGACCTTGGAGATCTTCTAGTCCACCCCCCAGCTCAAGCAGGAACTCTATGCCAGGGGTCCCCTTGAACCGCTTGGAACTGGGCCACGGAAATGCAGGCGAGTTTGCATCCATTTGCATGAGCAGTGGGGGCGCATACCCACCGCTTGGGCAAATAGAGCTGTGTGCATGTGCATTTGCCCTCCATTTACACGGAACCGTCCCCTCTCCCCCCACCCACTAGTCCGCAAAGACAGAAAGGTTGGGGAACTCTGCTCTATACCATTTCAGAAAATGGTTGTCCAATCTCTTCCAGTGCTCAGAATTGGACATAATACTCAGTGTAGAATCTGACCAATGCAGAATAGAACTATTTCTTTCCTGTGATTTGGAAAATACACATTGATCTGTATCACAGCACAAAAGTGCATTTACATTTTAGAAGATAATCATACTGACTTTTAGCATCCCATCATATGGACTCACACTCAGCTACAATTCCAAGACTCTTTTCACATCCAGAATTCCTCATTCTAAATTTCCACCTTTTATTAGTGTTTTTTTTTTGCCCAGTTTAGCAATTGTGATTATTAAAATTTGTTCTGTTAATCTTAACTTCCTTCTATTTTGAATTTTGTTTCGGTCTTTAAAGGATCTGCTATCTCTTTCAGTTTTGTACCATCTACACTTTTTATTCCATTTAACCAAGTATTCTTGCAAATTTAAAAACAATTAAATCCAATCATTTGATCAGTAGACCCCACTTTTCCAAGTGGCAACTAGTACTAATTATATTTTTACACAGTCATCTTATAATAAAGCTTTTAGATCAGGCCTTCCTGGCTGTGAACAGTGACTGTTGCAGCAGAACACATTTGGAAGATTCCACTTTGAACTTGGCCAGATGAAAAGCTAACCACCACAAAAAAAAATTGTGCCTGGGAAAACAGGAGGAGAGGAAGAGGATAAAAGGTTCTGAATAAGCAGCTGTTCAAATCCAAACTGCACAACTCTATAGTGGAGCCTTTGAGAGGCCAGAAAAGAATCTTTCTTTGTCCTTCCCAAACTCCGATTTCCTTTTTCCAGCATTCTCCGACCATGTGATTTTCTCTCTCTCCATTTTCTCTGGCTGCAATTTAGGTGTTGGCCAAACCAGAGGAGTGACTCTCAAGTTACAGGTTACTTTTACTGCCTTCAACAACATAAAAGATGGGCGATTTACGACCCTGCAGTGATAGCAAAGGTTTTTTTATTTGCTTCCTGCTACTTCCTGCCCCATGTTGCTAGATTTTATTTTAAGTAGTACTATTCACGATTATCTTTTTTTACTTGTTTTAAGAACTCATATGTCAGAGTCATATGGTGACCAAGGACCATCTCAACTTAGGCAACAAGGAAGTTTGTGATAAATATTTATATGTGTATATACGAGTGTGCTAAGGGATTGGTTGGGACAAAACTCAGCAGCACTTTTTCGTGCGGCTGCTGATAAAAACAGGATCGCCAACGTCTGATAATGGATATGGCACAAGAAGAAGAATAGGAGTGTGCATGTGTATCTGTATGTGTGTACCTGTATATGTGGGTAGATATATATATATATTCCTTTGAGAGCGGGCATCAGAATTTCATTTTTTAATGTGTGCCAGTGTGCTCACAGGAAAAAGTGACTATTCTCTTATCTCACCTGAACCAATAAATTCTATAAATAAAAATAGGGTTGCCAGGTGTCCACTATTTGAGTGGACAGTCCACTTTTTTCACATCATGTTCGCTATTTTTTTCCACAAAATTGTGGACATTTTTTTTTATTCCAAAGCTTTAGGATGAAACGGTACGTAATCTAAAGCTGTACAGTCTACTTTTTTTTTACTACTTAACCCCCCCCCCCCGCTTGTCCGCTATTTTTTGGGAAGCAGACCTGGCAACCCTAAATAAAAATAACACTCTGGAGCCTCAGCTGGCTGCACATCGAGTACTCTCAACCACACACACGCTCCCCATTCACCCATCTTCCTCATCCTCATCGAGGGTCTACCCCCATTAGCATCCCAACTCCGTTGGCCGGGTTCACACAACGCGCGGACCCCGAAATCCGGGTCGACGACTCCCAGAACCCCAGAACCGACACGAGGAGCCCCGTTCCAGGCCGGCCACGTGAAGAGAGACCGTCCGGGTTCACACGACACGCAGCCCAGTCGGGGCTGGAGAGGAGCGGGACGTCCCCTCAGACCCCCGACTCGCCCCGGGCCGGAGCCAGCAGCGCCGCCCTCCCGCGCGCCCTCCTCACCGCTGCCGCTCCCGAGGCCTCAGCCGCGGCAGGCCTCAGTGGGGCTGCCCTCGCGACCGCGCCGAGGGGCCGCCGAGCCTGACAAAGCCGCCTCTCCCTCCGCTTCCCGGCCGCCGCCGCCGCCGCGCTTCCGCTTCCGCCCCCTCGAGGCGACGTCACGGCGTTGGGTCGCGTCCGCGTGACGTCACGGCGTCGTGTTGCTTCCTCCCCCGCCCTCCGCGATCGCCTCAGAAAACCGAACTGCCATTACTGTAGTGTTCCCCACCACAACACACACAAACGCACAGTCACACGCCCACAGAAATGGGTTGCGAGGATGGCCTTGGCGAAACACCCGCCTTGGTCTTGGGAGCTGGAGATCTCTCTCTTAGCCAGGGCTCTTCAAACTTGGCCCTTTCATGACTTGTGGACTTCAACTCCCAGAATTCCTCAGCCAGGCACGCCTTAGGCGTGCCTGGCTGAGGAATTCTGGGAGTTGAAGTCCACAAGTCATGAAAGGGCCAAGTTTGAAGAGCCAGGCTCTTAGCGGTGCTCAAAGGAAACAAGTGGTGTGGGGGGGGGAAAGACTACGAATCCCAACAGCCTTAGCGGTGAGGAGACTTCCGGTGCTGCCCGTCCAAGGGGCGTCCGCGCGGTTCGCTCCAAGCCTGATAACAAGGAACGGCGGGCAGCCCCTGCAGCGCCTGACCACATAGCCCATACTTCCCAGCCAGGGGCCGCCTTGGGCTGAATCTCAGGTGAGGGCTGAGGCCGAAACTCCCGCGGGAGCTGTAAATCGCAGCCTGTATATTATTTCCCTGATGAGGATGAGGATGGTGATGACAGTACAAGGTAGTCCTCGACTTACGACCACGATTGAGCCAAAATACTAAGCAAGACCGTTGTTAAGCGAGTTTTGCCCCCCTTGTACGATCTTTCCTGCCACCGCTTTCACGTGAAGCGTTGCAGTTGTTAGGATAACCACACGGTTGTTAAGTGAATCTGGCTTCCCCGTTGCCTTTGTCAGTAGGACGCAAAAGGGGATCACGTGATCCCCGGGACAATGCAGCCGTCATAAAGACGAGTCAGTTGCCAAGGCTCTGAGTTTTGATCCCATGACCCTGGGGACGCTGTAAGGGTGAAAAGTGTGAAAAATGGTGATAACTCACTTTTTCCAGTGCTGTCGTAACTTCAAGCAATGACTAAATAATGATTGTAAGTCAAAGACTACCTGTGGTTTATTCAATGGGCATGCTGCCCCAGTCTCAAGAACTTGGGACAACTCGCCTTCCTTTTTGTCTCTTTCCTTCCACCTTTCCCAGCCTTAGCGCCTTCTCCGGAGAGCTGGGTCTTCCATAGTCCAAAGTAGGATCGCTTGAACTCGATCGTGTGTGCCTGTCGTGAAAACTATGGGACGATTTGTTTGATAGTCCATTGGTTGGTTTTCCTGCTTGTCCACAGCATTCTCAGGAATCTACTCCAAGACCACAGTTCAGAGGCATCCGTAACCTTCCTATCGCTCCAATTTTTGCTCGAGGGACTCTTGAATTGCAGCATGGAAGTCCTTGTTAAAATTGGGAATAAGAAACGCTCTTGACCTGCGAATTAAATGAAGCCCTCTTGTTGAAATAAAACCTTTTTTGTTGGCAGGTTTTTAGGTTCTGTTGTGTTGGGACCGCCTGGCCTTCCAATGAAGGACTCCTTGACCCTCCTGTCCCGCATCCAGGCACACCCGGATTCCCGTTGTTGGTTCCTAGCCTGGAATCCTACAGGGACGCTCCTGGCTTCCTGTGGCGGTGACCGTAACATCCGCATCTGGGGAAAGGAAGGTAGGCTCAAGTGGTCAACTTGGTGTTTACCTTTCCAGGAAGGGAGAATGCAGAGAGCTTGTGGTGCTCAGATTTGGGGGAAGAAAAAAGGAATTTGGAACATGAAGGCACTCGTTGGTGTTGTCAGCAACTCCTTAAAAGAAGCTTTCTTTTCCTTACCTGGTGCAGCAGCGTGTTTGATTTAAGGAGTAAGGATAAGAGCAGGAGCAACGTATGTGCCTACACATGTTTTGAATTTTCTTTTCCTATTTGAATCCAGATCTCAGCAGTCCCCTAATGAACAAACAACCAATTTCTGGACTTTACGTTTGGAACTAAAAGCTCTGCTCCTAGGAGTCCACGGTGCATCTCTTAAAAGAACAAGCAGGAACTTTTGATATCTATAAAGGAGAATATTTCTAGCTCAGGGTTGAAATGAGGGGCCCTGGGTGCTCTCTGAGCTGGTTTGTTTTCTCGCAGACGTCCCACTACCCAAACTAGGTAACCTCCTCAGTGCTAAGTGGTGATGATCAGCGTGGCTGATATTACCTAGTTTGGGTAATGAAATATCTGCAAGAAAACAGCCAACCTCGGAGAGCATCAAGGACCCCTCACTTTTGCTATCTGACTCAAGCATAGATTCTTGGAGCTGGGTAAGATATGAGATAGGAGAGCCAGTTGAGCCACCGGACTAGAAAACAAGAAACCATGAGTTCAAGTCCCACCCTAGCCGTGAAAGCCGTCTGGGTGACTTTGGGCCCGTCACTCTCTCTCTCTCAGCCCAACCCACCTCATGGGATAGTTATTGTGGGGAAAACGGGAGGAGGATTGAATGGTGGATATATTATTTGTAAAAATAATAAAGGCAGGAAATACATGAATATAATAAAATAAAAAAGATACGCAGATATTGGATGTTAAAGTTTCTGGGTGCATTCAAAAAAAGATACAATGCCAAAAAAAAACGTGCTTTAATGTATGTACAAACCATCGTTTCCCTCCCATTTCCTTGTGACTTACCATACTGTCTGCCTCCCAAAGTGAGGACCGTATTGGTTGGTTTAATGGGTATTTCCCAGTCTTATCTCAACCGCCATTAATGTCTCGCTCCTCCAAAATGCACAATTTTGCAGTTAGTAGAGACATAAGACCCCTCCCTGTCCTCTTTTCCTCAGCCCCAAAAAAGGGAAGCCAGATACTCGATTAATGTGATTAGTCTTGGGGTGCCAAGATCAGGCAGGGATGTTGCAAACCGCATTGCCAGCTTTCTCTCTTGCCAGGTGATGCCTGGGTGTGCAAGTCCACTCTGGATGAAGGGCATCAAAGGACCATCCGCAAGGTGGCCTGGTCCCCCTGTGGGAACTACTTGGCTTCGGCCAGCTTTGATGCAACCACCTGCATTTGGAAAAAAAACCAGGACAACTTCGAGGTACAGCACCCTTTGCGGCTTCTAATTCAAATGTGCTCAATGCAGAGATAATTGTTTAAATTGCAAGATGTTATTATTAACTGGAAAAAATTAAGGTATCTTGAATCCTTTGTTAGGCCGTGCTCTTGGTTCCAATATTCTCAGTCGAGCTCCACAAGCAGCAAGAAAATAAGGGGGAATGTACCCAAGATATGACTGTATTTGAAAATGCTGCAACTCATAATAACAAATATTTACCGTGCGCAGTTTAGGGTTCACTAGAGAAATACAGTTCAGAACTGAGTGATTTAAATCTTATATGACTTCCATGGATGCAAAATTGGAATACGGTTAAAAAGATGGAACAGTGAGAATCTCAGTGGAGAAAAAAAAGTACGAAGTCACTTTAAACATACTTAGAGGCAACTTTTTTCAGCTTGTTTTATTGTGAATGTGTTACTTTTGTCTTGCTTGCTTAAATTAGTAGTTCTTTTCCCTCCAGATGCTGGAAATGAAGTGAATTGGAAATCAATTTATTGTAAAATGGAACAATTACTGAAAGTTGTCATTCCATTTCAGCTGAGATTTTTTATTACATTTCATCAAACCACAGATTTCTTCCAAAATACACTGAACTGGCATTGTGTAGGATAACAGCTGCAAGGATTTTCTCTTTCTGGTCTCGGATTGCCGGTTGCCCTTCCCGTAAGAAACACCCCCTCTCTTTCTCCCCCAGTGTGCAGCCACTCTGGAGGGCCATGAAAACGAGGTGAAGTCTGTAGCCTGGGCCCCATCGGGCAGTCTCCTGGCTACCTGCAGCCGAGACAAAAGCGTCTGGGTTTGGGAAGGTGAGTGAGAGCTTGGAGAATCACGGGAGGCAGACCATCCTTTGGGGGGCATTGGGATTTTCAGAACCTGTTATGCTGCTTTCACATAGTGGCTGCCTATCAAGTCCTTCCCAAGGATCTGGGATAAGCAGATGTGGTTGATAGTGTTAGAGATATTGTGGCAAGATGTAAGCTCTTTTGAGTAAAGCTGCCTTTTGCAATTGACCGATGGGGAGTTTGTCAGTGCCGGTGATATTATTATTATGGTTTGTCGTATAGCCTGATGTTCAGACTGGACTTAACCATTTTTGTCCACCTGTTGAGTCCTTCTCAAGGAGCTGGGATAGGCAGATGCAGATGTATAATAGTGTTAAAGGTATCATCATTAGATGTAAACTGTTCTAAGCTGCCTTTTGCAATTGACTGAGGGTGATTTTTATTTTTATTGTTCAATTTTGATCACATTCCCCCCTTCTCTGTTACAGTGGACGAAGAGGACGAGTACGAGTGCATGAGTGTCTTGAATTCCCACACACAGGATGTCAAGCATGTCGTCTGGCATCCTAACCAAGAGGTGAGTCTGGCTTCCTTCTCTGGGGTGGGGTAGAGAGATCTCCTTTCGCATTGCTGCAACAGCTAGAAGATTATTTTTTGTAAAACAAAGGCAGAGGTTCTCAGTAAAGGGGCATTTTCCATGTGGCCCTTCCATGTGGCTGCAAATCTTTCTGTTCTGCTGATGCGGATTTGGGTCTCCCTCTTGAGTTTTTTTTTTCTCCTGCCAGCTGCTGGCATCTGCCAGTTACGATGACACCGTCAAGCTGTATCAGGAGGAGGAAGACGACTGGGTGTGCTTCAGCACCTTGGAAGGCCACGAGTCCACGGTGTGGAGCTTGGCTTTTGATCAGAAGGGAGAAAGGCTGGCTTCCTGTAGCGACGACAAGACCGTGCGAATTTGGCAGCAGTTTAAGCCAGGCCATGAGCAAGGTGGGTGGTACAGCACAGTGCCCTGCCTTATATTGCAGGGGATACAGCTGTTTATTGGTTTGTATTTATTTATTCAATTTATTGGCCATCCCATCTTGCCACAAGGCGTCCCTGGGTGGCCTACAACATTACAACATAACAATAAAAATGTACAATTACGATTAAAAGATGGGAGGGAGGGAAGCAAGAGGCACAGGAGGGAGGGGGGAGAATCTAGTATTACTTCATCCACTACCAGGCTGCAGGTCTTCGGGCTCTTGCAGAAGGCCAGGCAGGTGGGAGCCAGTCTCACCTCAGGGGGCAAGATGTTCCATGTGTTATTCAGAGGCTCAGTTCCTCCCTCATGTCATTGTTGTACTTTGCTTTGGAGAACAGCAGTTCAAAGTCTTTGGGGCCAAAGTTGGCCCTTAGGCTCAAATTGCCCTTCTTGTGCCATATCCGTTATCGGACGTTGGCGATCATGTTGGGCGATCCTGTTTTTATCAGCAGCCGCACGAAAAAGTGCTGCTGAGTTTTGTCCAAACCAGTCCCTTAGATTTTGAAGCCACGATGTTCTTCTTCTTCTGCCTGGACCTCGTTGGCCTTCCGTCTTTCCCTGGAGGATGAAATGGAGTAGGCCGTATTTTTCTGGGTGTCGCATCGCATGTCCGAAATATTCTAATTTTCGTTTTTTAATTGTTTTGATGATTTCCCTCAGCTTTCCCAGGCGGCTTATCCCCTCCTCATTTCTGATCTTGTCAAATTGCCCACGGAACACTAAATGAACGGTTGTTAAGTACAGGTAGTTCTCGACTTACAACAGTTCATTTAGTGACCGTTTGAAGTTACAGCGGTACTGAAAAAAAAAAGAATTTATGATGGTTTTTCACACTTATTTTCGCAGCATCTCCTGGGTCATTGATCCAAATGCGGACACTTGGCAACTGGTTCATATTTATGACGGTCGCAGCGTCCCGGGGTCACATGATCCTCTTTTGCGACCTTGTGACAACAAAGTCAATGGGGAAAGCAGATTCACTTAAGAACCCTGTTAGTAACTTAATAACTGCAGTGATTCACTTAGCAACTGTGGCAAGGTCGTAAAATGGGGGAACATTCACTTAACTGTCTCGTTTAGCCATAGAAATTTTGGGCTCAATTATGGTTGTAAGTCGAGGGTTATTTGTACAAGACTGCCTGTATCTGAGTAAGATTCTGGGCCAAGTGCTGGATCACTTAAGGGACACCACATCCCCCTCCCCTCCATTCATATTTTCTGTCCCAGCAACTCTTCCTCCACTCCCAAACCCTGGATTGGACCTTCGCAATTTAAATCTCCCCTTTTCCCAAGAGGCCTGGAGCTCCTGCAGCAGATCCAAGAGAGACCAACTTAAAGAGCTCTCTTGTGTGTTTCAGGCGTGGCCTGTAGTGGCACTGATCCTGTGTGGAAGTGTGTTTGCACCCTCTCCGGTTTCCACACGCGGACTGTCTATGACGTGGCCTGGTAAGTAGAGACGCTTCCCACAACATCCCAGGACAATCTGGGATCGGTGTCCAAAACTGCTTCTTGTGAGGGTGTTTTGCAGGTTGCACCCTTGTGGACGAAGGAGTAACACAAGTGCTTCTCTACAGAAAAACGTGGGTACATGAAGGCGGTTTCCCACTGTAGAACATTGGGGTTTGTGACTGTTCTTGATTCCTACAATGAAAGCCACTTTGTAACGAGGGGAACCCCTTTGGATAAAGATACTTTAGCTACTATTTTATAGTTGTCTTTAAAAGACACTAATTTTACCCCTTAACCTTCCTCACCAATGCAAAGAAAAGAATAGCTGCATGTGTAAACTTGCCAGAAGCCACACTCTTAAGGATAGGTCCACAACAAAAACAAAGCTATGTTATTAAAAGCTTAGACTGGGGGATTCTGGGAGTTGAAGTCCACAGGTCTTAAAGTTGCCACAGTTGGGGACCCCTGTGATTAGCAGAATAGCTGCAGCAGTTTTTGAAGTCTCCAAAATAGTTATCACTCTGTATTAGCAGCTTCTGTTTGGGTGGCACGGTGGCCTCGTGGTGAAGACGCTCCCCTCCCACTTGGAAGGCTGAGAGTTCAATCCTAGGCAGTGGCAGATATTCCTCTCCTAGGGCGCAAAGAAAACCCGTCTGCTGCAAACTCCACATGGGCATCAGGAAGGGCATCCTGCCAGTAAACGCTCAGTCTTGACTCTACCCTGAATTAAGGGGATTGCAGGATCATAAAAAAGGGAGCTTTTTTTAATTAGCAGCTTCTCTTTAAAATGCCCCAGCGTGTTCTGAATCAGTCTTGCGCTAGAACTGTTTTATTTTCCAAATTCTTGGCAGGTGCCACCTGACAGGTGCCTTGGCCACCGCTTGTGGAGACGACGCCATCCGGGTGTTTGAGGAAGACCCTCTCTCGGACCCTCATCAGCCCACCTTCTCCTTGACCGCACACATGGCCCAAGCCCACTCTCAGGATGTGAACTGTGTTGCCTGGAACCCCAAGGAGCCGGGGTTCCTGGCTTCGTGCAGTGACGATGGAGAAATGGCCTTCTGGAAGTATCAGCGCCCAGAGACTTGCTAAAGACATTGTTGTTTCCAGGGGGGGGGGGTGTTTCACAACCACTAGATCCTCCAGAAAAGGCAGCCAAACATCCTACAAATTTATTCAACTGTTCTGTAGTTGTTTCCATCCTTTCAGAGGAACTGCACTTCCCCAAGTGAGAATTACTATCTAGAAGGAAAACACTGGATTTGACTGAGAGGGAATCTGGTTGTTCTTTGGCATGGATCTTCTAGGTGATTGCCAAGGCAGACTGCACTGAAGCTGGATTTCCAAGGTAGGCCCGAAATGAACCTTGGAAAGCTTTGTTATCCTTTCTATGCTGGCTTCAGGAAGTGAAATAATAGGCTTTAAATATTGGTTTCTACTTAATAAAACCAATCTCCTAAAGATGTCCGGTGGGGAAAAGAGCAGTTATTTTGACATCTATAAGATGAATAAAATACAACATCTGCTTTTGTTCATCTTGACTCCTTTATTAAACTACAGCTTCCCCAACCTGGGCTCAAATGGCTAGGAAAGATGGAAGATTTCTCCATACATCTGGGGAAAATGAAAGCGACCGAGGGTGGGGAAAGATGGAAAGGGAATTTCAAAGACTAGGACTGACGTAGGCTTTCAGATGTACATGTTTTTTGCCAAGGAATGTCTACTTCAGGAAAAAATCCAGTTACAATAGGCACCTGTTTTTTCTTTACAATCCTCTTCCCATTCCATTTTTAAGAGCAACCATCTCTAATCAAATCTTTCACTTCTATAGGCCAAGTTTCTCATCGTAATTGTGTTAGATTTAGAAGAAGGGGTGCCTGCAGCTTCTTTACTCAGACCTTCTTGTCGTGAGGAATACTTCACTCAGGAGGGCAAGACTATATTTAGTTTCCTGCAATTGAGATTCCAAAAAAAAAGGATTCTACCTTTACACCAGATAATGAATGGCAAAGATTGCACAGGTCCCACGTGCAAGACAAATGCAAATCCATGTGGTATAGAGGATTGGGAATATTGAAAAGGTATGCTGAAGAAATATAACCATCCTTCACTTGCTTACCCTCCCCAAAAGGAGATCTGAGTTAATTACTGGAAGTTTTTATTTTGGAAAATTAGCAGGATCTCGAAACTATCGATTCAACTCATTTACTCAAAACATTGTACATAAAGCTACTGCTTGTTTTGCTGAGTTTAAAAAAGAAAAAGCTTAAAATGCTGGAAGAAACACAGCCTGTTGGTTGAGGCTTAGATGATGCAGGAAACCAGAAGACGGAGAACATCTACAGCACACACACACGAACACACCTTCCCAACCACCTATGGTGGTCATCTGCTCCAAGGAAGTCCACAATGGCTTCATGGGTCCATCACAGAGGATGTTCAGTCGGAGTCGCTGTCACTCTCCGCCTCCTTTACATCCACACTGAACTTATATTCCTGGTCACAGCCCATGTAGGCGTCGCTCATGAAGTAGAGTGTGTAGTTGTGCGTCCCAGTGGGCGGGGCCACAAAATCCAGTTTCACCTAAATAGCATAAGAATCGGGTTTTTAGAACAAGTCACATCACAAGGGACCTGACGGGGTGAGAGTTTGCCTGCAAAAAGCTCACAGTGCAAAATCAGCTTAAAAGCGATGGGTGTCCCTTTTGGGAAAAGCACAAAAAGCCCACAGGTCGAATCAGCCGAGGGCTGAAACAAAATCAGGTGCAGTTCGTGCTTCGTTTAACTTCTTTAAGGTTTCATTTTGACATTTCAGCCCAGATGTTTTTAAAACCCACAAGCAGGACAATGGGCATTACAGAACGTGAGACAGGAAAAAGCGACACGGGGAACAGAATTCAGCTTCGAAGAATCCTGGTTTCAACAGAAGCGAATATTTGGAGCACAGGGTTGAACCTGACGGGCCCCGGATGCTCTCTGGATTTGGTGGTTTTTCTGGTGGATAAGCCTGTGAATTTTAGCTTATCACTGTCCAGCCAACCACTTCCAGGAGTAACAGGTCTGTAAATTTAAAAGTCTAGCCCATTTTCTTCCTTCTTGTTCCTCCACCAATTTCCTTCCCTGGTTTTCTACTCTTATTCCAAAGCATCCTCAGCATGACTGAAAAAAGCACTGAAAGAATCCAACGGCACTTGAGGAAGATTGCCTTTTCCCTGATCACGAGCCTACGTTGTTCAAAAAGCTTGCTTTTTATATTCAAGATTAGCCTTTCACATAAATACTGTACATCCTGCCTAACGTTGGTCTTAATTGCTCAGCCTCCTGACCACCACGCTCCCCAGAATGTCCTTGCTACCCCTAGTGCCCTGCGGACTTTAAGCTTACACGCGGTGCAAGAAGCGTGTATCAAAACAGTCATCGGAATGCTTCAAGGAATGGAGGACGCAGCGAAGAGGACGAAGAGAAAGATGCTCGTTCCCCACATCTGCCAAGCCCCCCCTGCCTTTTGCCCTCTCTGCAGCCACTGCTGGCTACCTGGGCGGGCCCCGGGTCTCACCTTGGCCTTCTGCTGCAGCGTCAGCCGCTTGATGGAGATGAGGCTGTTGGATTTGGAGTCACCAATCACCACCCACCAGCCTTCCTCGCGTTTCTGCGGGAAAGAAGCAGCAAAGAGGACAAAGTGGGGCATGCAAAGTGTACTGGTCACCTCCCGCCTGGACTACTGTAATGCTCTCTACATGGGGCTCCCCTTGAGGAGCACCCGGAGGCTCCAGCTAGTCCAAAATGCGGCCGCGCGGGCGGTGTTGGGAGGGACTCGTCGCTCCCACGTAACACCGCTGCTGCGCGAGCTGCATTGGCTGCCGGTGGCCTTCCGGGTGCGCTTCAAGGTGTTGATTATTATCTTTAAAGCGCTCCATGGCATCGGACCTGGTTACCTTCGAGACCGCCTTCTGCCACAGATTACCTCCCATCGGCCTGTACGCTCCCACAGGGTGGGTCTCCTCAGGGTGCCGTCGGCCAGACAGTGCCGGCTGGCGACCCCAAGGGGGAGGGCCTTCTCTGTGGGAGCTCCCACCCTCTGGAATGAGCTGCCCCCAGAGATCAGGGTGATCCCGGATCTCCCTTCCTTCCGCCGCGCCCTCAAGACATGGCTATTCCAACAAGCGGGACTGGCCTAGGGCAATTTTTAGAGGGGTTTTTAATCATATTTTAATTAGACAACATTTAAATATTTCTTTTTAACTAATTTTAATTTTGTAATTTGTCATGGGTGTAGTTTTAACTGATTGTCAGCCGCCCTGAGTCCGCAAGGAGAAGGGCGGGATATAAATTCAATAAATAAATAAATAAATAAATAAATAAATAAATAAATAAATAAATAAATAAATAAATAAAATAAAATAAAATAAAATAAAATAAAATAAAATAAAATAAAATAAAATAAAATAAAATAAAATAAAATAAAATAAAATAAAATAAAATAAATAAAATAAAATAAAATAAAATAAAATAAAATAAAAAAATAAAATAAAATAAAATAAATAAATAAATAAATAAATACTCTCAGCCCCTCCCAGAAGCTGAATCGGCCGTCGGCTTCCCCGAATCTTCCTCCAAGGACTCTTCGGCTTACCTGTGGGAACAACGGGGCGATCACCGGCCCGGTCACTTCCTCCTCTCGCTCCAACTGCACCAGCACAACCACAGGCCCTCCACTGGAGAAACAAAAGAGGGTAGACTCGCATCTTTCCCCCAGGAATGTTTGGCCTTCGCTCCCTTCCCAGCCCACTAGAAGCAAGAGGTTGAGGAACCCACAGAGCGCTAAAACCTTGGCAGTTTCCAGCAGGGAATTCTGTCCCACAGATTTTTTTTTGTTGGTGCCTTCGAGTCAGTCTTGACTCCTGGGGGCTGCCTGGACGTCCCTGCAGTTTTCCTGACAAGGTTTTCCAAAGTAGGTCTGCTATTATTACCTGCTTCTTAGGGCTAAGAGAGAGGGGCTGGCTCAAAGCTACCCAGCTGGCATTGTGTCTAAGACAGAACTAGAACTCACAGTCTCCCAGCCTTAACCACTACCCCAAACCAGCTCTCACAGAAAGTTTGTCAATTTGAAGGTAGGCAAAAGAGCCTCTGGATGCCCAACTTAATTTTAAAAAAAAATGGAGAACCTGAAAGCATGCAGGACTATTAGAGAGCATCTTAGAAAGTCCAAAGCACTTCACGTTCTTCTAAAACTAAGTTTAAAAGTTCTATAATAGTTCCTTAGTACGAACTGCTGCAAAGTTGGTTACCAAATTTGTCATTCTTCAGCTGGCACCACCCAGCCATCCAATGACAAACTAGCTCACTCTGTAACTGAAGAACCAATCGCTTCCTCTAGCCTCAGGCCCTGCTCTCGCCTGCCCGTCTCTCCTCACCAGCAACAAAGTCCATTCAACAAGACCTGCCTCTGTCCATACGCAATGAGAACAGAAAGAACGCCAACTGCTACTACCAGCTACGTCACCACAGTCCTCCTTCTCTTGCAACCCTCCCGGCTCTCTTACCTGCGGATGCCGTCCTTTTCCACCACCTCATAGGAGAGCTCGATGTTGGGGTAGCGGTTGCAGAAGCGAGCCACGTCTGCAATCTGGGCATCGGAGAGCTGGAGCAGGGCGTTGCGTTCCTCGTCTTCCATCTCCATAATGTCAAACACGCTCTCCACTCCCTGCGCAGGACGACAGGCGGAGGATAAGCAGAGACCGGCAGCCCGAAGGGAAAAGCTTCCGGGTTACAGTGTCATTCAAAGAGCCCCCACACACACCCACACAGACCGCATTCAGGATCAGCTGACCCATGGGATGAGGATCAGTTGGAGGCCCTGTTGAGGTCCCAGCAGTGGGATGACTCTTAAGCCCACCTCTTTTTGGCAACGGCAGACCAAAAGCCAGGGAGGGAAGAAAGCAGGGTGAACCACCCACCCACCCACCCCACGCCTGTCATTCTAGGAGCAGTCAGGCAGTGTCTGATGATAAATTCTCCAAACTGCAAGAGGCTCGTGGCATTTGGATCAAACAGACCTCCTTCGGGGTCAGGCCAAGCTAGAGCATCTTGAAT